TGCTGCTGCTGATCGGACTTCCCTTCACTCTGGTAACGCTTCATATTCTCTTTTGTGTCCAGTCTGTGTGAAAATGTGCTCTCTGCAGCTTTTCAGTTTTTCACACATTTATTTCATCGTGTGGGGTCAAACTTACTTTTTAGCATAAAATACAAAAACATTTCAAGTTTAATTAGCTACACATTTAAAAAAAAACAACTAACGATCCGTTTAGTAGGAAAATCATGTCATTTTATTATATCTCAGAGAAAACCGTAAATGTAGACAAAGTAGTAATGCTACAGCAGTTTCAGCTGCCATGCACCTTCCTGATTTCAAACTTTTAAAACAGTTTTTAAATCTTTCTGTTTACTCATTAATCTTTTTACTTTGACGCAGCAACAAACAGTGGGCAAGTACATCACCGAGCTCCAGGTGTCTCTGGATGAAGCTGAAGAGGCGTATCTTAGCAGTCAAGGTTTCAGCAAAATCGATGTTGATCTGAACAAAGGAGCTGAAGGAAAATACATCTACCTTTGGTACAAAACAGGCAGCAGCTCACCAATCACCAGGATTCAGCTTACATTCAATGGTGGCATGAGCAGGGGTCTGATCACTGCAGGTTACCAGAAGATTGACAAGAACCTCAATGCCGGAACGAGCGGAGACAACATCTACCTGTGGTACTACAGAGGTAACTCAGAGTACGATGTTCCCATTGTGAACCTTCATGTCTCTATAGATGCAAGGGTGGAAGCCCTGATGTTCGCACTTGGATGGGAGAGACTGGCCTGTGATCTGAACCGGAAAGCTAGAGGAAAATGGATCTACCTGTGGGTGAAGAGGGAGAGACCAACCTACATCTGTGACATCGCTGCCAATGCTGACTATGATAGAGACGCTGACTACTTCCGGAACGGCTACATCAGAGTGGACGAAGATACCAACAGAGGTGCAGGAGGATCCTTTGTCTTCATCTGGTACCGTCAGACCAATAACTCTCAAAGAGCCATCACAGATCTGCAGCTCTCCACTAACGATAGAGAGAAGATGTTGTTTCCCTATATGGGCTTTACAAGGGTAACTACTGATCTAAGCAAGGGGGCAGGAGGAAGTTCTGTGTACCTGTGGTACAGGAAAGACTCCGGTCGTCCCATTCGGGCGGTCTCTGTGATCGTCAACACAGCAGCTGTGGAGGTGTACAGCATTCCCTGGGTCTTCATTAGACAAAAAAACCTCAACAGTGGGAACAACGGTAATACACTGTACCTGGCCTTCAGTTCGTTTTAGTAACAGAGCTGGGAATGCTCACTGGGCAGAAACCAAAGAGTCTATGGTGTTCCTGTTCAACCAGTTTGATTGTTTTTCTTTCCTTGCTGAAATGATTTGACTCCAACAATGATCATTGATCCTACAGTCAATCTGTTCGATTAGCTCTGTCTCGCTGTATTCTGATGATTGTCACTGTTTGTCAATGTTTCAATAAAGTCTGTTCAGAATATGAAATATCTTTGTGTCATGTGTAAAACCTCGGTGCATGTCAAGAGAATCTGAAGAAGTGAGAGAAGAGAGCAGCTCAGCAGGATCACTGCATCACT